AATTAGTACGACCCCAATGGAGGGAGGGCGCCACGGTCGAATCTGACCGCTGGGCGAGCTCTAAAAAGTTAGCCCCTGATTATTAAAAATTAATTATTTTGACCATGGGAATCCATTGATAGGCGAATGATAGCCAATGATTGGAGAAGTGAATTTTTAATTACCGGGAGTCACTGTCCGCCGCGAAACTATTATTTTTCTCACTGGCCCAGGACTTTTATGGCAGTTTTTATTTTTTCATCACGCTGTGACGAAAAGTCAACTTTTCGGCACGCTCCGCGTGCCTATCCTCGAATCTCAATGACTCTTTATTTACATGATAAATGATTTGTGGAGAATTTAATAATAAATTATGCCGCGAAGAAATGAATAAATAATGATAATTCCCCTGAATAATGAGTTGTAATGGCATTTCCACTTTGATTTTTGGTGAAAGTTTTTTTTTGGTGTAATATATTCACCGAAAAATTTTGAAAAAAAATAAAGGGGTCCAACCTTGCAATCTGGTAGTTTTTTCAGTTTTTATGAGATAATCAGTGGAAGAACCGAGAAAACGAATATTGCCTATTCTTATATGGAAAGTATGTCAAAATACGCGTATTTTAAGGAAAAAAAAATTTTAATTGGTTGATTTTTACGCAAGTTACAGACGTTTGAAGAAAAAACCAGAAAAAGAACATAACTGCTCACAGGATGGGTCAAAAAATCTGAAAAAATTTGAGGAGTCATCTTATGTTATGTACAATCACAAAAAGAATCGGCAATATGATCGACGATGGTGAGGGTTTTGACCACGTTGAGTTCACATGGAATTCCCCATGTGGATATGTGAATAGTGTGATTAGGAGGATAGGATTAAAATTTCCGTCGACAAAGTCCTAATGCAAAACATCATATCTTGAAAAGAATGAAGGGACTCAATTGTATGTAATAAGTAAGTTTGCCAAAAAAATGGAGTGTCAGGGTTAAAGTATCCCAGTTTTCTGCATGTTACCTAGATCTACAATATTTAAATGATGATGATAATGAAAAGGATTTCTTCAATTGTTCATTTATCAGGGGTGCAAGTATTATTTTATTACTCCAAGATTATATAATACTGGTAATTCTGATTAATTTGGTATTCAATTTGGTTGAAGAGTTGAATAATCACAACTTAGCCTGAAGTGTATTGTCATCCTGATGAATCAGGGTGGGACCAATGTCCAGGTAGCTTCCAGGCACTTCTCTCGATAAAAGTATCTTCTCAAGGTCACGAATAATCGTTGATATCTTTGACCTATCAATTTCATAATTTGGCTGGTTTGGTATTGACTTTATGGCGCCGTACGATGTTAAACTGACTAATGTCGACAAATATAGATCCAAGGAGAGAGTGTAGGGGTGACGGACGAGGCTGTCGTCTTGGAAGAGAAGAGTTTCTGCTAGTCTTTGAGATTCTTTTAGAATGTTCTTGTCGGTTGGACCCTCCATTGTTGGATTATCCCACTGGAACAATCGGAATAATTACACCTGGTTCTTCTCACTCCTCTGTATCTTTTCAGTCAACCCCTCAAATACGGAGTCCAATATACGTAGGGGAGGGTGGGGTAAAATGGACACTTTTGATATTTAAAGAAATATTTATAACTCAGAGACAGATTTATCAATTAAATTCAGTTTAGGCTCAACACAAAGGGAAAGAATTGTTCTTTTTATTGGGAAATTAAAAAAAATATTTCACCAACAATTCAACCTGTCATTAACATTTTTAAGATTTTTTGTAACTATGTATGCTTAGGAAGAGGTCCAGAAAAATTCGTAAAAATACTTTAACTTCCATCGATGTTTATCGATCCTCACCTGATATAGAGTTAGACACGTGACACAAACAGCACTGATGAACGGTGAAATTAAATTACTAAGTAATAGTCTGAGTTTCTCATTATTCCCATAAGTAATTCGATTGTTCTCTGATTTAAAACATTCTGCATTAAATAAAAACTCCATCTCATGGGTCCACTCATTGGCTATTATGTCTGTACTGTCGTCAGTGGGCAATGCAAATTCGTTACTCAATAGTTTTCTCAGGAGAATATACGTTTCTCTGGCATAATCTGAAAAAAATACGGATAAGTTATTTTCAACAGGTGAAGAAATTCATAAAAACAGCGAAAGGTTTCTTACAAATTCCATTTCTAATGGACGGTAAGTTTAATACAATACGGAGAAGAAGAATCGTTTAGATTTGAGGGATATGTACTTTATTTTTGGAAACCCGTATTTATAGAATTCAACGAGTGAAATATTCTAGAATACACTGATTTGTCACTAATTTTTGGTGACGGTAATCCAGAGAATTAGATGGAAAAGTTCTGATTTTCAGGAGTATTCACATTAAATACTAGATAACTGTCACCAGAATTCAATAATATTTATCCCTAATTTCAAGGGATCATTTTATTCGAAATTATACCTCTACTTACGTACCTTTGCTTTCCAGGACTGAGGGATTTCATTCGTAAAAAGTACAAACAGAATGTAGAACGGTTAAAAAAATAATACATAAATTTCAGGACGACCGTTGTATGTGAATTTGTAAACAATGTGATGATTGATTTGTTATGGACTGCCCCCTCACTTGATCTTTCATTTGTGGATGTCCGCATGAAGAAGGACCACTTTGTCGATATGGTGTGATGTATACTCTGATAATATTGATAACATTCCGCACATTTTGAGCCCAAAATGATCTTCATAGGGTCAAAAATGCCGTCATTGGAGAAACGTAAATACACAAAAACGTAAATATCTCGGAAACTAGAATCGACAGTGGGCCCTTTTCATGTGGACGTCCACATTTATGTAGCACACGACCACAGAAATTCAGTGACATGTCGATCCTGGGTATCAACGATTTTATACCTAAATTTTACGTCATCAAAACTCCTGATGCTAATGGTAATTCTAGTCAGTATAAAATATTCTTAAAATTTAGAAATATATCCCTGAAAACTAATTTTTTTTTCTCTGCAGAATTGTCAATTACCTTCGAGAATGTCAGACGTATGTACTGAGACAGCAGCAATTGTTGGTTTCGTAAAAAGTGCAAAGGTGGGATTGACATAAATCCCGAGGTTAATGGCAGGAACCGCCATTTTCATTGTTCTCTCGTCCAAATTGTGACCCCTGACATTTCGAATTTTTCCTGATTTTATGTCACGATAGCTACCATGGAGGGTCAATGAATTATGTGAATCGAAACTCAGTAAATTTTTGTGGGTGTTTAGAGACTCTTTGATCTCGTCTTTTTCGGATCTCCTGTATGATTCGTCCTCTCCACTGCAATCAGGAAAATTAATGAATTAATCAATGCATTTGCATAATGCACGTGCATAGTGACAATTGAGAATAATACGATGATATAATGATACATTGAATTGTAATTAGAAACGAGGAATTACAGGGTTTCCCACAGCATGTGACCAAAGTAAATCGTGCAGAATACCGCAAGGTGGCAGTGCAGTCTAAAGTCTAAACGTATCCCCTTAGGGACCCATCCATAGTTAGCCACTCATTACAATAATTATTGATTTTTGACGAATGCAATCGATAGTTCGTCAATTGTTCTTGATTGTTCGAGGATTTTCAGCGTTTATTCCCCAGCCAATTATTTATAATTGATTTTTTATTTTTTCCTCCCATGTTTCCTCAATTTAGCCCCTCCCACGTAAAGATCTAATCATTTTAAATTGTTCCTTCTGATGAATCGTTTGTTCGTCGTTTGTTCCTCCCTAAGACACTGCTGAGGTAATCGATAGGTTGATCCTTTCAATTGATTTCCTCAATCGTTAAAAGAGTGGCATATACTATAGCACCAAATTTTACTACCAGCAGCTATAGTTCGTGATACGCTGATGCTGTATGTATTAGGTCCTTAGGGGCTAATTAGAATTTGTTAGAATTCCGTTGATAACCCTTAATAATTTAGTACGTGGAGTTTTTGGAAGTGGTATAAAAGGTACGATATTTTGATAAATTGAAGTAAAAACATTCTCATTCTTGAATTGAGAATTTTTCCGGTTCTGAAATTAATTCACTCATGTTTATGGATCTTTCGTGCTATTCAAAATATATTACCGGAGAACTTGAGTCAATTGATATACAATTCTAGAATTTTATCCTTTTCGAATATTCATTGTTTAAGACCACAAATGTTTTTCATTCAAGAACCTAATCATTCACGATTTAAGAACTTAGCTCACTCGTAATAAGGAGCCTTTTCACTACTGACATATAGGGATCTTTCTCCTGAAATTATGTAATCAGTTTCTTATTCTCAATCCAATGGGCTCTAGATTCCTGAGATTCTTGAAATTAATAGTTGGATTCTGGAAACTAGAAACTTTTTTCGCCGTGTTTCTAAGGGTCATTATACGTGCAGAAATCATAAGTGACTTTTTTTCTTCAGATGGAAACATTGAAGATTACTCTCATTTTCCAACTTACTTGTCAACTTTTGGAAAAACCGTGGCCCCTAGTTTCTTTATTATTCCCTTTAGCCAGCAGTAATCCTGCAGCAGTCCATCGAATGAATAAGGATGATGTGGATATGAATGAACACGTTCGTTAAACAGCACAGCAATCAAATTGAAGGGCATGAAGATGGTGTTCCTCTTGTGACTCTCAATTATCTCAAATGCGAGGTTTTTTACAACATCAGTGGGTAGCTTGGCATTTGGGGATAAGGCACTCATTCTGCGTACATTGTAATCCATAAACTTCCGGGCTGAGATCGGTGGAGCTATGTTGAAATATATATGCCCGTGCCCTCGCTGTTCCCTGAGGATCGAGAGTGATTTGAAGAGTCCACTGGTGGTCTCTGCTGGTTTTGGAACTCCGAGGAGTTCATAGGAGAACAGAGACTCCTCCAACGGTCTATCGTACGTTATGCTTATTGGCACAAACTGAATGTCTGGCACGAGGCCTTGGAACACCGCCTCCAGGATCATACCAAGCAGTCCTAGAAGTGTTCCAGACTGATGTAATTTTTGTGGTGAAAATCAATAGAAAGTGAAAAATGAAAAAGTATTGACCGGAAATGCACACAATGTTCAAAAATTATCAATATAGAAATTGTTTTCTTTGAACATAGAAAAGTATTAACATGACGTAAAATGAAACTTGATGTGAAATTACCGGTAATTTTATTTCTGGTAATTTTATTAATTTAATCATTTCTCTCAAGTGAGTCAAAGGACAAAAGTTCTCGTGAAATTTCCACCCGAAGAGACTCATGCATTCTCGAGATATTTTTATTTGCAACGCACCATATTTCGGAGCTATACTCTTCTGGCTTCTGCTCCTCGTTCCCTCGATAAAAAACTCAATTGCTCGGTCGCTGTTCTCAACTAAAGACGCAACGTAGGCCTTGAATATTTCCTTGTACAATAGATCATTCGAGAAACTCCGCCTCAGGTAAAAGGCTCCAGTTTTACGGAGCAATTCACCAACAACCTTCATCTTGTAAAAATCCATTCCACTAGCAATATTTGGCAGAGCCATTTCATAGGTAAAAAGAAGGTACGACATCAGTACAAAATCCAAGTAGCTTCTGTGGGACGGCACGTACACGTACTGCACATCAGAGTGCTTCATCTGCTGGCGTATCTCGAGTAGGTACTTCTGATTCACTCGAAAACTCATTAAAATTCGCTTCAATACTTTAACGGTTAGAAGACCTGGAACATTTAATGATTTTCGTGCGTCATAAATGTGAGAGATCAATTTTATCACTGACAGATTCAGGATTTTAATCGTTTCATTTGATGTTTTGTATCAAAAAATTGTAAAAAATGTAATGATTGAGAGAATTATTGAGTAATCGTCATTCTCGACTGATAGAATAGTCACCGAAGAAACTTTTATTTTTTTTTTAAAGCTCTTATTAACATTTCAACGATCAGTGAGAAAATACCAGGAGGAAAAAAATGTTGAAACGAGTCTTGTTTGAACGAAAAAAATGCTAAGTCGATAAGTGTTAATAAACAGTTCCAAGGTACGAATAGTTTTTTTTAAGCATACACAAGGTTTCAAACATGAAAAATCGCTCTTTTTTCAATAACGAAATATTTCACCCAAGAGTCGTATCTCTCATAAAGGGAAGTTAAGCAAGAAATACTTTGTTCGAGAGGAAATAGTGACTACTAAATAGTGACTACTAAAAATAGACTACTGTGACAAATGACGACCTAACACTCATTTGATCCATCAAATTATTAATATGCAATTTCCTCCCTATTGGGTTTATTTCCCAATATTTTTCAAAATCGCTCTTTGAAAATGTTCAGTTTTGTTCAATTTTTTTTTCAATTATACAATCCTAATTTTTGGAAACTCCAGGGCTATGTAAAACTGAATAGCAATTGGAGATAATTTCAGATTATCAAAATAAAGAAAAACCAAGATCACATTCGAAAGATAATGCACCCGGGCCTTAAACAAATGCTTTCTTCATGCAAGTAGACTTTATTAGCAAGAAATGAAATCATTTAGAAGGCGAAGGAAAACAATTTGTTGATGAATAATAATTATCTGTTTGAATCAACTAAATTGTTTACTCATTTCTAATTGATTATACTTCTAATTAATTAATACTAATTAATATTAATTAATGCATTCATTAGAAGTATATTAATTATGTATTCTAACGAATGCACTCTTTATTCCATAGAATTGAAGCTTTGTTATTTAAATCAACGAGACAGGCGATTTTCGAAAAAATTCAAAAATTGAAAAAACTAATCGATGAATTATATTTTAATTGATGGCTATCGATAGGGTTCAACAGTACTCACATTTGAAAAAAAGATTCAATTCTAAAAATTGTATATTTCGGACTTTTTGGATCATAATGCATCGATGTAACTCAAAAAATCCAAAACTTAAATTTGAACGATTACAATACTTCCATTCGGAATATTAATATGCAATTTCCTCCCTATTGGGTTTATTTCCCAATATTTTTCAAAATCGCTCTTTGAAAATGTTCAGTTTTGTTCAATTTTTTTTTCAATTATACAATCCTAATTTTTGGAAACTCCAGGGCTATGTAAAACTGAATAGCAATTGGAGATAATTTCAGATTATCAAAATAAAGAAAAACCAAGATCACATTCGAAAGATAATGCACCCGGGCCTTAAACAAATGCTTTCTTCATGCAAGTAGACTTTATTAGCAAGAAATGAAATCATTTAGAAGGCGAAGGAAAACAATTTGTTGATGAATAATAATTATCTGTTTGAATCAACTAAATTGTTTACTCATTTCTAATTGATTATACTTCTAATTAATTAATACTAATTAATATTAATTAATGCATTCATTAGAAGTATATTAATTATGTATTCTAACGAATGCACTCTTTATTCCATAGAATTGAAGCTTTGTTATTTAAATCAACGAGACAGGCGATTTTCGAAAAAATTCAAAAATTGAAAAAACTAATCGATGAATTATATTTTAATTGATGGCTATCGATAGGGTTCAACAGTACTCACATTTGAAAAAAAGATTCAATTCTAAAAATTGTATATTTCGGACTTTTTGGATCATAATGCATCGATGTAACTCAAAAAATCCAAAACTTAAATTTGAACGATTACAATACTTCCATTCGGAATATTAATATGCAATTTCCTCCCTATTGGGTTTATTTCCCAATATTTTTCAAAATCGCTCTTTGAAAATGTTCAGTTTTGTTCAATTTTTTTTTCAATTATACAATCCTAATTTTTGGAAACTCCAGGGCTATGTAAAACTGAATAGCAATTGGAGATAATTTCAGATTATCAAAATAAAGAAAAACCAAGATCACATTCGAAAGATAATGCACCCGGGCCTTAAACAAATGCTTTCTTCATGCAAGTAGACTTTATTAGCAAGAAATGAAATCATTTAGAAGGCGAAGGAAAACAATTTGTTGATGAATAATAATTATCTGTTTGAATCAACTAAATTGTTTACTCATTTCTAATTGATTATACTTCTAATTAATTAATACTAATTAATATTAATTAATGCATTCATTAGAAGTATATTAATTATGTATTCTAACGAATGCACTCTTTATTCCATAGAATTGAAGCTTTGTTATTTAAATCAACGAGACAGGCGATTTTCGAAAAAATTCAAAAATTGAAAAAACTAATCGATGAATTATATTTTAATTGATGGCTATCGATAGGGTTCAACAGTACTCACATTTGAAAAAAAGATTCAATTCTAAAAATTGTATATTTCGGACTTTTTGGATCATAATGCATCGATGTAACTCAAAAAATCCAAAACTTAAATTTGGACGATTACAATACTTCCATTCGGAATATCGATTAGAATTTCAGTAGCGAAGCGGTAAACCGGGTTAAGTCGATTTTTACTATTGGCTAGTTTTTGACGAATATCTCGGAATCTAAAAGAGATAGAAAGATTTTTGTCATAACCTTTTTTGTAGAGCCAATAGAGCGTTATAAAAAAAGTCATGAGAAAAATTTTGCTATCTCTCTTAGATTCCGAGATATTCAGCAAAAACTGGCTAATAGTGAAAATCGACTTAACTCGGTTTACCGCTTCACTACTGATTTGGACTTACCAATCCAGCGAACAGTAGGCAAATGTGCCTTGCTGGCCATCTCCTCAAGCATATCCCTAGCCTCCCTCCTAACAATTGCCTTATCAACTCCCCTGGCAGCAGCAAGAGTCTCCACCGTAAAAAGCACCCTGGGATGATTGAGAGCAGCCTCAATAGCCTGCTCTCTGGTGTACTTCATCTCCGGAGGTAGACGATGAGGTGCGAGGGGATCCATGGGCCTCGACACCCATAGAAAATCCGAGCTCTTACGCCTGTCCACCAGCAAATCCACACAGCCATAATTATCCCCCATTATCACTCCTGTTACTCCTCACAGGTACTCGGTCAACGTGACACAACACACCTCGGAGGTAAAAACATCAACTGACGGTTTCATTTACTTATCCGCTACCTCACCCATCGCCCAAGTCCAGACATTTTACATTAAAACAAAGTCCAACCATCATTACCATTGCAAAATGCTAATCACTCGGGTCTCTACACTCAAAAAAATTCAAGAGATCCCAGTGTCGCCGGTCCGAGTGACCTAAAAAAGCCGGGCGTTTTGTTTGAACACTGACGTTTACCCTTTCTCCTCGCGTACCACTCGCTGTCGTTCTCTCTCCCACTCTGTTCGGAGATATCGTAATACAGCTGATCAATGGGGGGAGGGGGGCTGCACTGGGGAGGACGAGTGTTGACCATACGGGAAAGACAGTAATGCGTAAGTTTTGATAACGTAATAAATCCATTAGTATTAGATTAGTAGACATGCAAACGTGCCATGTCGGGGGGGAAAAACTTATAGTCTGTATTTACACACGCCATCTTTGATTATTGAAGTGGAAATGGCGGTAAGGTAGGGATTTTTTATCAGATGGGATTGCCGATTATTTAGTGACTGTTGATAATTTGAGGGGCACGATAGGAATTTTATGGGTGTCGTGAGGTAATAGTATATTTCGTAACGAGTGCAAAAAAGTGTTTTTTGGCGAGTGGGAGGTTTATGTCATGGGCTGAAGGCGAGTGATATAATCCCACGAGCTAAAAAACATTTTTTCACGAGTTACGAACAATATTTTTCATCACAATGTGGCGGAAAATTCACTTTTCGTCACAGTGTGATGAAAAATGAAATAAACAATGAATTATACATGATAGAAGGCAATGATGTGCAAAATAAGCATTCAGGAGCATATTGCTAATTTATTAGCAAATATAACTAGGGGAGGTTGGAGTAAAATGGACACTTTTGACTTTTTTAAAAATGTTAATGACAGGTTAAAATGGTGAGGAAATTCAATAATTTTTTTTTCAATTCAAAGAGCAATTCTCGCCCTTTGTGATGAGCCTAAACTGAGCTCCATTGATAAATTTATTTCTGAGTTAGGAGTAATTTAAAAAAAGTCTAGTGTCCATTTTACCCCACCCTCCCCTATACTATACACAATACAAGAGCAATTTCCCACTTGTTTTCCGTGGAAATCGAATGCAGATTGGTGAGAAGGGCCTTTCTCATCTTCGTCTCCTTCCTCCTTGATCTCTGTACTTTTAGCCATGCCACATATTCTTTTTTTATTTCTTTCAAACTTACCACTGTGAATAGAAGAGGGGAAAAGTAAATAAAAATTTTTACAACGTCAACTTATTTGTACAAATGACTTTCTTATTATTTTCTTCTTTCTCTTTAATTGTAAGGTATAATGAATTTTTTTATTGTAGTAAAATTAGAGTAATAACAATCACATACCGTGTTCAACTATCAACGAGATGTTTAACACACATGTTAAAAATTGATGGGACATAAATAATTTAGATCGCATCGTTCTAATCAATTATTTCTCATTCGTTCATGGTTTGTTTTTTTCTTTGATCTTAAGATGAAAATTTACGATGCACTGGGAGTGCTTAAAAATCACGTAACATTAAAAATATATATGTATAATATATATAATATGTATAAATTGTCGAGTCGTTTTTTTTACTTTTTTAATTTTTTACGCTTTTTCTATTTTCCTATAAATATTTATCTAAAAATCTTGGTTTTTTTTTGTGGCAAATCAAAAAATCACTTTTATAGATGAACAAGTTCGTAATAATTCTCATTACGGTTTTTAGAAATTACTTAAACTTCATCGCAATTTCATAGTTCAACGTATTAAAAAAGAACTTCTTTACTTTCACTTTTTTTCTCTTTCATTATTTATTCTTCATTTTTTTAGGCACCAATGGTATGCGGACCCTGTCTTTGGTACATACGACCGATTAGATTTTTTTCCATTAATAAAAAAGAAATTAATTCAACAAAGTGGACACTAGAAAAATTTGTGTCTACAATTAAACTGAGTGTTACTATCATTTTGTTCTTTCGGATTTTCACGTTATCAGTTGAACGTCTTACGTTCGCCTTGAGTGTTTTTCTTTTCATTTATTAAAAAAAAAAGAGAAAAAAACTAATAAATTGAGATAAAAATTGAACGAATTTTCGGGGCAAAATTCGTTATTATGACAACACTTGTGTCCCGATATGCACGTTCCTGGTGATATTTAAAAAAATACAGTCTCAGTCTTCTTCCTTCTTCTCAGGTTTCAAGTCCACCATTGCGTGTAGCTCTTCCGGGCTGTATCTGGAATAAACAATTATTAATTAATGATGTGTCTATTGATTTATGGACAGTTGATTTGACTCCGATCAATATTAAAAAAATTTATGCTCCATTAGGTGATCGATTAGGATTATCTTGGTTGATATCAATTGATAATTATCAAGATAATGGCCTAATTCATGAGAAAAATGTAGATATGAACTTTTTCCTCTACTGAATTTACGATTGAATCATCGAAAACAATTAACTTTTACACTCACCCAAGAAGACTCTGCAAATCACAAACGAAGCGATAGACGTATCTCTTTCCGGCTGTTTTGTGGATAATATTTTTGTCGTAGTAATAACGTAGCCCACGGCTCAATTTTTCGTAATTCATTTTGGGTTTATTTTTACGTATACCCCAGCGACGTGCAACTTCGTCTGGATCTGTTAATTTGAATTCCCAGCCATCGCCAGTCCATGATATGAAACCCTGACACGATTTGTCAGTGAGTAATTCTAGGAGAAATTGCCACAGTTGAATTGGACCAGATCCAGTAAAACATGGACCACCACCTTAAACAAATATAACACAAATCAACTCATCAATTCCTTTAAATTCGTCAACTCAATGAAAATTTGAAGAATTTCCGTTCAACTTGAAACTCTTCGGAATTTGATTTTGTTCCACTTTTTTGAGGGACCTAACGAATTCACGATCGCAACGTAGATGGGGGAGCCACCAAGTGGTGTCTAAAGTAACTACTATTGAGGGGCAACCAATGAGATTCCTCGGAGGGAACCAATCACGGAGCTCAACCAATGAGATCACTGGGTTCTCCCTGATCTCATTGGTTGACAACACCAAGGAGACCAAGAAAAGGAGAACCCAGTGATCTCATTGGTTGCCCGCCAAGAGTAGTTAGTGTAGCGTCCACTTGATGGCTCCCACATCTACGTTGCGATCGCGAATACTAAGAAGCTTAGCCTTAGCTTCATCGCGCGAAAATCCGAAACTTTTAAATTTCACCGTGTTTAACATTCAGGTGATATATGTATCAAGTCAATAGTTCAGTATAATTGATAATAATAAATTTCGAATTGTCAAACAATAAAGAGTTTTATGAGAAACTGACCTCTTCAAGATTAAGAATAGAATTAAAATCTAGAAAAAATGAATAAAAATTAGGCTGAAGGCCCTCAGGCAATGGCCATTTGGAAGAATGTATATTGTTTACAATAAATAACGTTAAAAGTTAAAGTTAAAGTTAAATAAAAATTCAATGTCCATGGTAAAAATAATCGACAGTCTTAAGCTTTTGGTGTAAACAATTTCTGTAGTGAATTGGTAAACTAGGATAACTGCATTTTGCTTAGTCGCAATCATCGATGAATATCTTGAAAACGAAGAAAGATACCGAAATTTTCATAAAAATCGTTTTTATAGAGCCAAATGTCAGCTCTAAAAAAGCTCTTCACAAAAATTTCTCTAACTATATCCACTTCCAAGATATTCATCAATAATTGACCCTAAGCGAAAATCACTTATCCTGGTTTACCAATTCATGACAGATTTATGTTCCAGTGTGGCCCAAATTTGTGTGTCACATAGATGTGGCAATTCGAAATCCTTTCGAATGTAGGGAGCTGCCACTTTTAAAAACACCCTAGTCAAACGAGCAACTATTGTTCCAACAAGTAATTAAAGAGAGAATTTGATAGACTCATTTGTTAAACTCATCGAAGTAAGAATTTATGTAAAAAATTATCAATGATAGGTAATTTTTTTTGTATTTTGATCCTTAATTTTTCTCGTTACTTTCAATTACTCAACTGAATGATGCAAGCCTCTTAAGGGGATACGTCGGTGAAATTTAAGGATGTTCTACACCCTTTCTGCCAAAATTCACGTTTTTTTAATTTTTCTGGCAAACTTATGATGGAATTGACGTGAAAAAATATAACGTTTTTGCGTTTTGTCATTATTTAATGACTGACGAAATTTTAAGGGGGTGCGAACATTTTCCTGCGTTTTCTCTAAACTTTTAAAAAGAATCACAAAACTGTAGAAAAAACGCATGAAAATTATCGCACCACTACGCAACTTCGTGAGCCATTAAAGAATGACAAACCACAAAATCGTTATATTTTTTCACGTCACTCCCATCGATAATTTGCCAGAAAAATGAAAACAACGTCAATTTTGGCTAAAAGGGTGTCGAACATCCTTAAGTCTTAGAACCCATTGAACAGTTCGTGATATATGACGTAATATGGGAATAACTAGGGAAAATCGTGGATCCGATCGATTATGTCCCGTACAACCACGACAAACTTCATTTTTTCTGTTTTTACCTTCAAAATGCTCCTTGCGCCGTAATTTTCATACGGTTTTAGCTTTTTTTCAATGTTCGTTATACTCCAAAGAATAAAGTTAAGCATTCGTTTTCCTTTATTCACAATATATAATGAATAAATGAATTTTAAATTTCATAAATTTTTACGCGTCTCTAGAGTAGAACTAAAAATTCGTTGTTTTTAGTATTTGAACATTGTAATCATCCTTAATCCCATTTTTATGAACAAAAAAAAGGCAGGTTGAAGCGAAAAGGCGGATTCCAAAGAAAATTTACGAAATTCAAAATTCATTTATTCATGATCTATCGCGAGTAAAGTAGAACGGAACTTAACTTTATTGTTTGGAGTGTAACGAAAATTTCAAAAACAAGCTAATATCATATGAAAAAATTAAGTTCTTTGTGGTTATACGGGGCAAAATTGTATCCCTTCAACAATAATACAATCAATAAGAATGTTGAGGAACCTTTACCAGTATATCCAGCTAGCATAGCGCTCTGCAGCAATGGTTTCTGGTCAGGATTATTAGCAATCGAAGCTGGATGATGAGGATTCGTGGAGTCACGTGGTGCCAAGCCCGCCAAAAATGCAGGATGATGAGATAAATGTTCCCCAAGGGGTCCGACGCCCCACTGTTCACCCCCCACCCCAGCATTAGAGCCACCAGTTGGATTGCCACTGCCAGGAACCGTTTGGAAAGGTGTTTGATCATATTGTCCGTAACCACCCTCACTATAGCCCTCGTGATAACGACCTCTCGGGTAATTTTTGAAGGGCGGAGGCTGGTACTTTGGCTCCAGGTGAATTCCACTGGTCCCGTAGAACTCGGGAGAGCCATCCAAGTTGTATGGATGGGGTGTTTGGTGCTCCTGTTGGAGATTGTGGTACTCCGATGACTCGTCGTAACCTGAGTAATGGGCTGGTGTCATGTAACTGTCTGTTGGTGCACTGTTGACCCGTAAATCACTCTCGTTATTACTAGTTGCACCGAGATCATTGCCACTACCACCACCTGGCATACCACCACCACTGCTCTGCAGGTGTTCGGATATATGGTGACTACCGTAGTTTGCTGAAAGTCAATTAATTCGGAGTAATTAGAAGATATTACCGGCCAAGTGGTCTTAATGCGGTAATAGAAAATTAGATGGTAAATTTGGAGATAAAATTTATTTATTTAGTCGAGGGGTTTAAACACTCAAAAATTTTCGTCTGAATTTTCAGTGCCAAATTTCGGAAATTTTTATCGCGTTCAAGTTCCACTGAAATTTCAGGAAATCCTGTCATTGAAAAATCAAATATTTCATTGATTTTCTAGTCAAATAATCTAAAAAGCAATAAAATACTTGATTGGGGAGGATGGGGCAAAACGGTCCCCCTTCAATCGTCAATATTTTCCGATTCAATAATCCGATTGGGATGAGTTAGAGCTCGTTTTGAAGAATGAAAAATTATCTTCAAAATGAAGTTGAAACTGGGAATTTTCACAATGTCATTCACAAGTTATTGACTATTGAAGGGGGGCCGTTTTGCCCCACCCTCCCCTTTTTCAGGTCAATTATTGTATGAAAAGTGAAAAATCAGGTAAGTTCAAGGAAATTGCGAAAAACTTTGTTGAAACCATTCATTTTTCCTGCATTATTATTGAGATAAGAATGATTGAAAGCGAGAAATGGTGAGGTTTTACTATCGCGAGGGGAAATTTTAGTGAGGTCTTCATCAGATACTGATCAGGTATGTAATGCTATTTTCCACAAGGGATTCTGGCACCCATGAACAACAATACGCGCGCGCCCTGTTCTAGTAATAGAAATAAATAATAGCTTTGAGTATTTACCTTCCGCTTTGAGCTGATTCAAATTCCGTAAATGTATATATGCATTATTCGCGTTATTATTGTTGTTATTATTGTTATTATTATTATTGTGATTGCCAGTTGGAGTTGTTGAGTGGGAATTTTGTTGTTGAGAATTGTGATTGTGCGGTGGTGGTGAGGTTTCATCTCTCTGGCTATCATCCTGGCACACTGGACTGCGTAGATGATTGTAACCACCTGAAACACGAAATAATAACGAGATGATTAATTGTTGATCTTGATGGGCGTTTGGGGTCGAGTGGGGTCGAATTAATGGGTTCGATTTAGGTTTCGGAAATGAATGACGATGGGGAGAGAGCTAATTGGAGGATTGTGTTTTTGTTTGATATAAGTGGCGAGATGTGATTTGTGGGGAGAGAGACGGGGCATGAGAGCAACGGGTGAAACTTGTGGGCGGTGACGTTCATCATTGGCTCGGAGAAGCTCCGCCTCTACCTCTGTCGGCATCCTTTCCCTCGTGACAAGAACGCAAAAGGCGATTTGGGGTGAGATAGTTTATTGGGAGGTGGAATTTTTCATCAGTTTGTTAATTGATTTCTTTCACTTTGGGTTCTGTGTTTTCAGTTTTTATTTGAAGGTCTGCATGATTTCACTCGAATTTTTTAATTGGTCAGATCCTTGTGACTCTAATGAAAAGGTTTATTTGAAGTGAATAAACTTTATTTCATAGAAAAATAGTTATTTCAATGTTACCAAATGGTTCCTTGATCCGAATAAAGAGCTTATTTTTAAAAATTGAATCTTTGTTCAATGAATGAACAACGAAATTGTAAACAGGTAGTGAATTATTTTCATATAATTGAATCATTTTGATAAGCACAAAAATATTGTTAAAATCCATAGGGGAGCATGGGGCAAAATGAAACACGGGGCAAAATGAAACAGTGGGAAAATCTCGTCATCTAAAGGAGATAGGACATTTTTGAAGAGGACCTTTTTTGTAGCTTGTAAAATTCTCTACAAAAAAGGTTTCCATGAAAATCGTCCTATCTCCCTTAGATCACAAGATTTTCTTGCTGTTTCATTTTGCCCCGTGTTTCATTTTGCCCCACCGTCCCCTAGAAATTCTTCTTTGTAGGGAGAGAAATATTATATAAAAGATCTCCTTGGATGAAATACTCTAAAATGCTTTTAGAGATATTACGGAAAGTAGGTGTTGAATTTTTCTGCATTGGCTTTTTTTTTATTTTCCGTTATTTTTTTTATGTATATGGTTTAAATATTAATTGAAGTTGAGGCGGATTTTTGCTGAGGTTTATTGAGACTTTAACGAATGTTAATGGTGGGATCGTAAACATCGATTTTTGCTTTTATTATGAATTCTGGGTTAGGCGTTTGAAATTTATGAGTTTATAAATTCCGTTTTATGGAAAATGTTTGAGAAATTCGGAGTGATCATTTGAAATATCGACCGGATATTGATTTTTATTGGCTCGAAATAGAAACAATAAAAATACTTCACTTGAATTTCGAGAGGATTGAAACTATTGCGATTCATTTAGCCAAATGAAATGCTCATTCACAAGAATGTACACGTAAATTTGAAAAACGAAAGGTTAGCAGATTTTTTACTACTTTTGTAGCCCACAAAGTTGTAGGCAAATAAAATATTTTCTGACATTTTTTGTAACACCCCTTTCATTCAGATACAATCGCAAAAATATGTCGTTGAGAATTGTTGAGTCATGTTGAGCGAGTGTTCCTAAACAAAAAAAAAGTTCATTTTAAAGTTGAAAAATCTCCGGAACTATTGAATTTTTCGAAAAACATCGCAGGAGCTCTTTTGTAGTCAATGAAATTCTCAAAAAAATGTATTTCAATATTTTTCGTTAATCCCTTTCGCTCCAGAAATATTTATAAAAGTTTTCAGCAAAAACAATCATGTCTTGCAAAATAAATCTTCCATTTACTTCTCAATTATCTCTGAAACGATTAGATTTAGTGAAAACACCAATAAACCTTTTTCATATTTCACAAAAAAAATACTCTGTGGAAAATGTCTTCTTAACATCTGCAAAAATCATTTTATTCAGAGGCCAATCGAAAAAGTGTTCACTGGGAATGGTTGAATCATAAAAATCGATAGTTCCAAAACAAATAATGTTCATCTGAATTCGCAAAAATCGCCAACCGATTGAATTTTTCGAAGAACATCAGAGGATCTTTTTTGTAGCCCATGAGTTTCCTTACAAAAAATGTATTTTGACATGTTTCGCGGAACTTCTTCCCCCAAAAAATATTTGCACAATTTTACCGGTTCTCCGGACGTAGTTCCAACGTTGTGAACCTACATTGCTTTGATGTTCAAATTCACCACCGAATTCTCACCGTACTTTCAACTTATCTCAACGTGAAGGCCCATGGACGTTGAAAAACACTCAATATCCACCGTATATTAAACGTACTCTCAACGTTAATGACGTTTGTTTCCTGTTAACGTACGTTATAAGTTTCGACGTCCACATTTGATTGTATCAAGGTCATTATTGACGATAATTCAAAAATTCATTACAATTCTAAAGACTCACGTAACTAAATTATTAGTGTTAGTACATTAACAACATTAATAACGTCCCCGTGAGTTGGGACCAAGGGTCAGAAGGGTTGAGTATAAGGGTGAGTTGAGTCCAAAAGATTACGCGAATCTAAGGGTCAGATAAGTGAAAGCCTCAGTTGAGATTGAATGTCAGTTGAGTTTAAAGGTGAGTTGAGCCTAAGGGTCAAAAGAGTACGAAGGGTCAGGCGAATCCAAGGGTCATTTTTTCAACCCATGAAATTTAAATACATAATGTTCTTCAACATTCACCCCTAACCTCCCATTTGTGTGGAAACATTTGTGTGACAACCTGTCAATTCATAATTCCCAACAAAATCAATCAAAAAAAAAATTTGAATTGCAAACGCCTCGGGTTCACGGCCATACGAAAAAAAATCACAATATTAATGCACGATGGGCACGCACTTTGTTGGCTTGAAAAGACCTAGAGACAGAGGATAAGTGCAACAGATAAAGCGCAAGCAAGACAGAGGGCCACACATGTACGTGTATACACGTAGCCTTTTGATACACGGATGGACTCGGTTGCATGGATCGGTTGAGCTAAACACCTGCGTGTATGTGGCTGCACCTTCTCGCACCCCATTTCATGGACAGTGAGCGTGGGAGTGTACCAAGTTGTTGGACCTCACGCCATACGGTTTGCATTTTCATATTTTTTTCTTCGTTTTTTTTTCTTGCTGAACGAAATTTCATTCATCCAGAAAATTAAAGAATGGAGGAGAACGAGAGCGAATGGTTAAAATATCGTTTTGTTTAATTGATGATGGAGTCATAAAATTATTCTGGTATTGTGGAATATGGACATTGGGGGTCGAAATGAAGAATTGCAATCGAGTTAGCTTAAATTTCATAGAAGGAAGAACTGAAAATAGAGAATTGGAACATTATATAGAGATTTGTTTAATATATTTAGAAGGATTTATCAGGGGCGGTTTTTGCAGTAAATTTCGTAAGTCACAAAAATGTCTCTCTGTATACATTCCCCGGGCCTTAATGAAATCATTTGTTGGCAGTTATTTTGTAAATTGCTAGAGCCAATAAGTTGAGGGAAAAATGGAATTTTCTGCAAAAAATGTTTCTGAAATTCCCAACTAAACCCTTTCCTTTGAGACATATCCACAAAATTGTGAATAAATGAAGTTTGGCATAATTTACTTTTACTGATTTTATCTAAAAAATCATTCACACAGAATGAATGTTTCTTTTAGTTGCCAGTGAAAATCTCCGATTTTCATAACTCTCTAAGTTTCACTCACTTTACGAAAATTTTCCCCCAAAATGAGAGAAAAAACTCTATTTCTCCGTGAATTATTTCTAAATCTAGAATCATTGTACTCAAATTGATACTCATTTCCTCTTCTTTCGAGAAAATCTTACTTACAGTTCAGAATTTTTGGATATTCTTAAAATAAGCACCTGGCAGTTTTTGAATCAAGAACATCGACGAATCCTTTGTTATTGACTCAATCAATGTTTAATCAATGTTCAATTATTCCAAAGTGTTGTCTCCTTCGAATGCTCTTAGTGTAATTACCCGAAGATTTTTTATTTAAAAAATGTTCTTACTTGAGATGAGAATGTTTTGGGTGTAAAATTTCAGGAATTTCTTTCTTCTCAAATTCAGTAACTCATCTTATCCTCAGCATAACTAAGAACTTTTTCCTCTATATTGTGTTGAAGGAAAGCTGACAAGAAATAGTTACTATTCATTGCGAAAATATTCGAAACATAATCTGTAAGATATTTTTTATTTGTCGATTGTCTCTCCAAAATAGTTTGAATATTTGTTAAAATTCATGTTAAATCCAATAATCTAGTGAATACATCCGCGGAGAAAGTATTTTTCGAGTTTCAAGTGTCCCCGAAGAGTCAAATTGGAGAAAATCCATGTAATTAATTTTTAAAGGACCTACAAAGTCAATTTTTTTAATGATAAAAAAAGAAAAATGAAATAAGGCGTACAGTTGAGACTCAAGCCCGCACATCAGCTGGAGAACAGGTGCCATAGGCATTCGAAGGAGGTACATGGCGTATAACTGAACTCCTCGAATAAGACACAGAGGACTTAGCTGAGGAGAGAGACGCAGAAGCCACCGGGGCACGCGCCAAACCAAACGAAACGGTCGCGACGCTGCTGTGCCACAGCTGCTATCCAAGCGAGACTTGCACAGACGGTATACCCGAAAAAACCAACTCCCAAGAAATTCCTGATGAAACTTCATTGTAACCAGTAATTTTTGTAATTATTGAGAACTCAAACATTCGAAAACATCAAAGCGAAAACTCTCAATTCAAGTGAAATTTGACATTTCTCTGTGAAAAACTTTTTGTGTACAATTAATGGTAATTTTAATAATTAATGCTCTCCTCAAGGTGTGTTTGTAAACAATTAATGTTTTCCTTGACGGAAAACTTTTGAAATGGTTTTTCCTCGAAGCTAACAGCTTACAAACGAGAAAAACAAGAATTCGGAAATGGAGAATTTAATTTATGGAAATTTTGACAATTTTTAGTTGAAAAATGGAAATAAAAATTGTTAACAGCATTGATTTCAGGGTTATTAGTTAAAGAAACATTTTCCTGGTTTCGTTTAACATAAATTGAATGACTGAATGAA